TTATCCCTGTCTCACTACCCCAGTAAGAGAGCAAAAACCGGGGTAGCTGAGCCGAAGACCTCCTAACTCATCTCACTGAGCTAGCATAAACTCACGTGACACATCACGTGACCGAGACAAGACTTTTTTATATCGCAGATCCAAAAACCCATAGGACATTTCTCCCAGGGGGAAGAAAACCTCCCTTGACCCCCCTGTTTCTCGACGGATCCTGCCGGCCGGGCCCGTCAGTAGACCGACTGCAGCCTTCAGCCCCGCCTCAGACCCCCTGGAGGCCCGCCAGGAGGCTAAGTGTCCGGAGATTGGCCGGGGGCCTGATCTCTCCGGGCGGCCGTGACCGGTCAGCGGACCGTGTCAGCAGGCCCGTGACATGTCAGCCGGCTGACAGGGTCCGTGACCCGGCTGACAGGCTCACCTGACCGGTCACGTGACACATCACGTGACCGAGACAAGACTTTTTTATATCGCAGATCCAAAAACCCATAGGACATTTCTCCCAGGGGGAAGAAAACCTCCCTTGACCCCCCTGTTTCTCGACGGATCCTGCCGGCCGGGCCCGTCAGTAGACCGACTGCAGCCTTCAGCCCCGCCTCAGACCCCCTGGAGGCCCGCCAGGAGGCTAAGTGTCCGGAGATTGGCCGGGGGCCTGATCTCTCCGGGCGGCCGTGACCGGTCAGCGGACCGTGTCAGCAGGCCCGTGACATGTCAGCCGGCTGACAGGGGCCGTGACCCGGCTCACAGGCTCACCTGACCGGTCACGTGACACATCACGTGACCGAGACAAGACTTTTTTATATCGCAGATCCAAAAACCCATAGGACATTTCTCCCAGGGGGAAGAAAACCTCCCTTGACCCCCCTGTTTCTCGACGGATCCTGCGAGCCCTGGTCGCAGCCCTCGATGATGGTCCAGGCGCCCTTGTGGTGCTGCACGTTGTGGAAGTCGGTGGTGTTGCCGATCGTCACCACCCTCTCGCAGCAGAACGGCAGGCTGACATTCACCACGGGATTCTGGGTCTGGATGCTCTTGCATGCAAAGCGCCAGGCCTTGGCGAGATCCCCATAGTCCCCCATGATCTCGAAAGAGTCCTGGTCGAGCAAAGAGCTCGACACGAAGGAGTTGGGCTTCAGCTTCGAGGAGGTCCTGCCGGCAACCCTCAGGGACGTCTGCCTGTCGCCGCTCTCCTTGATGCAAACCCCGTACGAAGCATACGGCTCCTCCACCACGAGCTCGTGCAGGCTCGGGATCTTGGAGGGTGCGAGCACATCGTTGCACAGCTTGTTGCCAAACTGCGACGGCATTCCACCGTTGGTGAAGAGACCCTCGGTTTGGACGTGCTTCTTCCACGTCACCTCGGCATGGTGCCATTGGCGCCGCAGCTCCGCCGGGGAAGAGCTGATCGTGACAGCAGCGGACATGCCCCGCGAGTGTTTCATCCACGGATATCCATCGATTTATATAGGGAAGAATCCAACCCTGGTGGCAATACCCCATGTCGGGCTGCATGCGGGCGATTGCCAGCGTGTGGGTTGGGACACTGCGCTGCACCAAACTATACGATGACAAGGAGGCGCTCACGGCACACGCCGTCAACAGCCTGATCACTAGCATCGAGCAACTCCAGACGCAAGAATGTGCACTCAACAAGGAGCTCACAGAGATCACGCAGCAGATCAAACTAAAGCGGAACCTGGGCGCCAAGGCGCTGAAACCCCTCCTCATCAAGTCCAAGCAGAAGCGCATCAAGCTGACGCAGATTGTGAAGAAGAAGGAGTCCTTCGAGCACCACCTCGACCTGCTCAACAACAATGAACTGGATCAGAGCCTCATCTCTACAGTCAAGCAGACGGCAAACGCCATGAAGAGCCTTGGGCTGCACAAGCAGGTGGATGACATCGACGCGGTCATGGCAGATCTAGAGGACACACAGCTGGACATCAAGGAGGTGACCGACATGATGTCCTCACGCATGGTGAGGGATGAGGATATCGACGACACCGAGCTGCAGGATGAGCTCGACGAGATCCTAGGGATCGACGAGAAGGAGGGGCACAACTTTCTCATCCGGGAGAGGCCGAGCAGGGTCACCGAGATGCCAAAACTCACAAGCAGCATGCAAGAGGAGCAGGAATTCCCGGCCGTCCCTCTTACCGGATGATTCATTGTTTTGCTCATTGAATATTACCGTTATCATTGACCATTGTATTGACTATTGCTTCAAACACTGTTTATTGCCTCGTCCATTGACAGTCATGTCATTCGTTGACATGACCATTGTTCAGCATATTGATCATTGTCCTGACCATTGTCATGATCATTGAACATTAACCTGATCGTTGTCATTGATTCTCATCGTATTAATGCATGCGCGGTGTCTATGCATTCAAACCCAACATGGATGCATATCGCAACATCGTAAATTTGTTGGCACATGCATTTGTACATGCACACGACACCGACATGAACGAGATGAGACAGCGGGTGAACAACTGTCTCACCATCGACAACAACGATACACGGGAGATGTGGAATGCAATGCTGAACGAGGCCCATGAAAACATCACTTATGAGATATTGGAAATCTCGTTTTGTATTAATAATGGGTTGCAGATGACCCCACTACTGAGAAAACGGCTATGGGAGTTTGTGTACAGGCTTACGATGCAACAAACAAGATCGAACATCCAGCGATTCGAAGAATCCAACCAACTTTTCTACATCCAAACAACGCTGTACACAGCATCACGTGTCCAACAACTACTGCAAGAATTTCAAGACGAGGAGCTGGTAGCTGGCCTGGAAGACTTCCGCTTTTTGTTCCAGCGAGAACAACAGACCAACCCCCGTGGAAGGCAAAGAAGCAATAGACAGGCCTGGACAGACCACATCACAGCATTGGAAACTATCCTACAGGAATACCGAATCCTTCGACGACGTGCAAAGCTTGTCATGACCAGACCGCGCAACTACAAATTTGCATTCATCGTTGCACATATCATAGACAGCACCGGGCAGATGATCCTTGCATGGGCAACCCAGAGCATGCAAGACGCGCTTACATCGATTGAACAAATCGAGAGGGAGGGCGACAATATCCCTGGGCAGCAAAAACGGTCTTCCAGGACATACGCAGACTTGGACGATGACATCACCGCTGAGGACGAGATATGGCCAGACACCGATTAAACTCATACTCCTATAAATGCAGGCTAGTAGATTCTTATTCAAACTCAGCATGGACGAGTACAATAGGCTCGTCGACATACTCGCACGCGAGCTGGCAAGCGGAACCAACGTCGACATGGAGGAAATGAGACAGAGCATCAACAACTGTCTCACTGTCGATGACGACGAGACGCGCGATAGGTGGAACGCGTTGATGAACAACCATCTTGCAGACATATGGGGAGCATTGCGTATGATCTCGGTTGGTCTGCGTTATGGATTGCAGCTGACCCCAATACTGAAGCAACGGCTTTGGGATTTCGTGAACAAAAACGCGATGCGCCAAGCAAGGAAAAATACGCAGGATTTCTACGGGACACATTACCACGACCCAGATATGATAAAAGCAAACCTATACCTTGCATTCCTCATTCAAAAAATAGTGAAATGCATGCCAGATGAACAAATAATTGACGGCCTGGAACAATGTCGCATAACCTTCACTCGATATACTTCGTATATAGCGGAAGGAACAACGGATTCGTGGATAGCCTACATCTCCACCATGGAAAGCATCTTGCGACAATTCAGGAACATTCATTCGCAAGCACAGCGCATCTTGCAACGGCCCCGAAATCACAGATTCGATTACATCCTGGCAAAGATCATACAAAATACCGAGGACATGCTCGTACAACATATATCGCAACGGCTTCAGACTGCACAAGAAATTAACCCTACCACCCAAATCACTGTGAAACGTCCTCGGATTCTGGCTACAACTAACAATGACTCCATCTATAAATGCATCTCACCGTGTCGCGACGCCTAGAGCTCGATGGACCCGTATGACGAGCTGGTTGACATGTTCATCCGGAGATTCCGGCGCCCGCATGGACCACCCGCGCACGTGCTCAGAGAGCAGGTGCGCGCTTGCTTCACGCAGGACAACGAGGTGACACAAAGGATGTGGAACGAAAACATTGGACCTAATCTTGGCATACTTGGTCTTGAGCTTCACATCATCTTATCTTGCATCCGGCGCAACATGCGGATGACGAACCTGATCCGCACACGCCTGTGGAGCTTCGTGCATACCCAATGCATGCGGCGCGCGGAAGAGTACGTTTCCAATTTTAATCAGAGCCATTTTCCCGACAAAATGCATGCAATCATCAACCTCATCAGCCTGTTCACTAGCGTGAGGCTGATAAGCGCCGCTCTCGGCGATGAACGACCACTCCCGGAAACACCGCACCTAGTGCAAAGCATGTTGGTGGCCATTTACATGCACCCCAACGCCTCTGATACTATGGAAACCCGCATGGACGACTACATCCGACGCATGCATGATTTCACAAGAGCATGGAGGTCCATCTGGAGCCGGATCGAGCCCATCCTCCAACGGCCCAGCCGCCACAGCTTTGCTTACATCGCGGCGAAGATCATGGACAGCGTGCACAGTGTCCTCGTCGTCCTGATCGAAGAGAGGATAGAGCATACCAGAAACGTCTTGCAGAATAGGCAGCCCCCGCCACCGAGAGAGGAAGAGTACGAGGAGGAGGAATGGTCCGACATGGGTGGGTCCGACATGAGCGAGGATGACGCAGTGTAAAGCACTTTATTTATAATGAAAAGCCTCAGAGCGGCGCCTCGCAGATCCTCGCCTTCACCATCTTGATGTCGTCCCTTACCGCATCGGCCTTGGCAATCGTCTCCGAGCATGCCACATCGCGCTGCGATTTCAGGCTGCAGTCGGTCTACTGACGGGCCCGGCCGGCAGGATCCGTCGAGAAACAGGGGGGTCAAGGGAGGTTTTCTTCCCCCTGGGAGAAATGTCCTATGGGTTTTTGGATCTGCGATATAAAAAAGTCTTGTCTCGGTCACGTGATGTGTCACGTGACCGGTCAGGTGAGCCTGTCAGCCGGGTCACGGCCCCTGTCAGCCGGCTGACATGTCACGGGCCTGCTGACACGGTCCGCTGACCGGTCACGGCCGCCCGGAGAGATCAGGCCCCCGGCCAATCTCCGGACACTTAGCCTCCTGGCGGGCCTCCAGGGGGTCTGAGGCGGGGCTGAAGGCTGCAGTCGGTCTACTGACGGGCCCGGCCGGCAGGATCCGTCGAGAAACAGGGGGGTCAAGGGAGGTTTTCTTCCCCCTGGGAGAAATGTCCTATGGGTTTTTGGATCTGCGATATAAAAAAGTCTTGTCTCGGTCACGTGATGTGTCACGTGACCGGTCTTGTGAGCCTGTCAGCCGGGTCACGGCCCCTGTCAACCGGCTGACATGTCACGGGCCTGCTGACACTGTCCGCTGACCGGTCACGGCCGCCCGGAGAGATCGGGCCCCCGGCCAATCTCCTGACACTTAACCTCCTGGCGGGCCTCCATGGGGTCTGAGGCGGGGCTGAATGCTGCAGTCGGTCTACTGACGGGCCCAGCCGGCAGATCCGTCGAGAAACAGGGGGGTCAAGGGAGGTTCTCTTCTCCCTGGGACAAATGTCCTATGGGTTTTTGGATCTTCTATATTAAAAAGTCTTGTCTCGGTCACGTG